AAACACAATGACAATACATGTGTCGCTTGAGACCCCCTCCGTATTCTACAGCAGCCAAGCTCCATGGATTTGTAGAAATGCTGAGAGAGTCTCAAGAGGAACCTCACACAAGTCCAGGCCGCTCAAGATCCCCACAACAAGGAATCATTTTGCAATCCGCTATCGAAGGTTTTTTGTTGTAACCCGCCGCAAAAATATTCAATCTGCTATCCGCCACAAAAGGGTTTCCTTCGTAATTCGTCACAAAAGGGTTTCTTTTGTACCTCGCCACAAAAAGAATCAATTGTGTAATCTGCTACAAAAGGATTTCCTTTGTAATTCGCCACAACTGGATTTCCGTAGTAATGCGCCACCAAAAAAATCAGCTTGTAATCCTCTACAAAGGGAATTCCATGTATAATCGGCCACAAAAAGAATTAGTTTGTAAATCCGCCACAAGGGGGATCAACTTGTAATCGGCCACAAAAAAAATCAATTTGTAATCCGCCACAGGAATCAATTTTCAATTCGCCATAAATGGAATCGTTATGTAGTTTGCCATAACAGAAAATCAATGTCTCTGGTTTTTGCTTTTGCCGCAGGAACGCCAGCCCTGTCCCTGTTCTCCCGCCTCGTCTCCCTCCCTCTTTCGTCCTCCCCGCCCCTCTGCTCGGCGTTGCGTTGTGATTCCCACCCAGTTTTGGCCCGGGGCCTGCGAGGCCATTGCCATGGATTCGCCCGGAAATTATGGATGGAAATGCATGTTGTCGTTGGGTCGTTTCGATCGTTCTGCCGGCCCCCGTTGCGTCAGTGGCGCCGCGCGTTGGCGCGCTCGTGGCACGCGAGAAGAAGGAAGAGGACGAGGAGGAGGATGATGAGGAGGAGGACGACGAGGAGGAAGGGAAAAAAGGAGGGGGAGGAGGAAGACGAGGAGGAGGGGGGGGGAGGGGGAGAAAAATGGCCCAAAACGGCCCCGAAGCGGTCCGTCCTACAAGGCCCCAGAGTGTCCCAGGAACCCCCCGAGGAGTCCCAATGGTGTTTCCTACAGGGCCGCCCGCGGCAGAGGAACGCCATTCGAACGACCGTCGCGAGTTCTACGGGGGTCGCTGAGTGCGTCGCGTGCCCCAGAACGCACCACCAAAGTTCTACCCCCTCTGCCCCGTGGATTTATTCCACGGGTCCACACTGGTATACGCACGCGCAAATATATGTTTCTCGCTTTTGTATAAAAGCTAAAACCTCTTATATATCATATTTTATATATATATATATATATATATATATAAGTTTGTTCTGTTATCTCTCTCTCTCTCTCCCTCTCCCTGCGTCCCTCTCTCTCTCTCTATCTTTCTCTCCCTTCCTCTCTCTCTCTTTTTCCTCTCTCTCTCTCTCTTTGCTATATATATATATATACACACGCATACAACAAAAACGAACAACAAACATTCGCTTCATCCCGCCAGCATGCTCGGGCTATGCAACCTGGCGGATGTTCGTTTGGATCTCGTGAGAGGCCTTTCGGTGCCCCTCCGGAGACAGTTTGGAGTCCTCTTGGGGCCCTTTGACGGCCTTTCGGGGCCTCTTTTGGTCTCTTGGGGGCCTCCTGGGGGCCTCCTGCGGACCTCTTGGGGCCTTCTGGGCGCCTCTTGGCGCCTTGGGGCCTCTGGGGGCGGAAGGTTCCGGTTTTCGGTTCGTTTCCCATGTGTTGGGCCTCTCTTGGGGCCGTCTTCGGGCCTTCTTGTGCCATCTTGGGCGCCTCTTGGGCCGTCTTGGGGTGCTCATAGGCCGTTCTGGGGCTCTCCTGGAGGCTTCTCTGATTGCTTTGAGGTGGTCTTGGGGACCCGTTGGGCTGTCTTGGAGCATCGGTAAGCCGAAAAGGCGAACGCGCCCAAATCCTGTAAACAATTGGAAAAATCAATGGTTTGTTCTTCTTGGTACCCTTTGGGGGGCCCATTAGTGCATCTTGGAGGCCTCTTGGTCCGTCTGGGGTCCATGCTGCGAATCTTGGGGCGATATTTCAGCGACTCGGGGCCCTGTTGGACCGTTTTGGAGGCCTCTTGGGGTCCCCTTGGTCCGTGTTGGGGCTCTCTTGGGCCCGCAGTTTACGCGCCGCCAGTTCGGCGAACCTAGGGGGCACGACGGGAATCCCGCGAAATTTTGGAAATTTGGGTCCGGGCCCCTTCAAGACTCCTCATGACTGAGGACTCAGGCTCCAGGGATCAGGCGAAGGGCCCGAGGACGCGCCTGCTCCGTGCCCAAAAGGATTGTGATGTGTATATATATATATATGTATAGATACATCGATGTATCATTACACATATATATATATATATATCCACATACAAAGTACACATATATACATATATATATATATATACACCGGTCTGTCTGTTTGTATGTACGTAGATATGAATGCATGGCTGTATTGATGTATGGATGTATGCGTGTTTGGATGTATGGATGTGTGGATGCGCGGATGCGTGTATGCATTTGTTGTATGTGTGTATGCGTGTATGCATGCATGCATGCACGGATGCATGTTCGCATGTGTGCGTACACCTACGGGTATGTTTATTTGTATGTGTATTGATGTGTATGCATGTGTACGCGTACGTACGTAGGTGCGTGCGTGCGTGCGTGCGTATAAGTGTACGTAGCACCCCGCAATTGCGGATAAGAGTGAGGGGGCGGGCGCGGGCGACGCGGGCGTCGTCAAGCCGGCGGACCTCGTGGCCCCCACCTTCCCTGTCGATGACGCTCTCCTCCTCCTCCTCCTCCTCCTCCTCCTCTTCCTCCTCCGCCTCCTCCTCCTCTTCCTCGTCCTCGTCCTCGTCCTCGTCCTCATCGTCATCGTCGTCCTCCTCCTCCACCTCGTCCTCCTCCTCCTCCTCCGCTTTTTCCTCGTCCTCCCTCTGCCCCCCTCGTCCTTCCATCATCGTCCTCCCATTGTTGTCATGTTCCTCCTCGTCGTCCCTCTCTTCCCCCCCTCCCGATCCTCCCCCCTCCTCCTTTTCGTCGTCGTCGTCGTCGACTTCGTCGTCGTCCCCTTCCTCGTCCTCCTCCTCCTCCTCCTCCTCCTCCTCCTCCTCCTCATCCTCCTTCTCATCCTCATCCTCATCCTCCTTCTCCTCCTCGTCCTCCTGCAAAAGCAGCCCGCCGCAGGCGCCGAAAAATTTGGTTTGTACACTGAACGTGGTTTTGGTCGCGGGTGGGCCGCGGGTTCTCCACCGGGAACGAATGCAAAAGATGCCCGCCGCAGGCGCCGAAAAATGTAGTTTGTACCCTGAACGTGGTCGCGGGTGGGCCGCGGTCTCCCCACCTAGAACAAATGCAAAAGATGCCCGCCGCAGGCACCGAAAAATGTGGTTTGTACCCTGAACGTGGTTTGGGTCGCGGGTGGGTCGCGAGTTGATCGCGGGGTGGGTCGCGGGCTCTCCACCTGGAAGGAATGCAAAAAAAGCCCGCCGCAGGCGCCGAAAATGTTGGTTTGTACCTTGAACGTGGTTTGGGTCGAAGGTGGGTCGCGGGTGGGTCGCGGGGTGGGGGTGGGTCGCGGGTGGGTCGCGGGTGGGTGGGTCGCGGGTGGGTCGCGGGGTGGGCCGCGGGCGGGTCGCGGGGTGGGTCGCGGGTGGGTCGCGGGTGGGTCGCGGGTGGGTCGCGGGGTGGGTCGTGGGGTGGGTCGCGGGTGGGTCGGGTGGGTCGCGGGTGGGTCGCAGGGTGGGTCGCGGGGTGGGTCGCGGGGTGGGGGTCGCGGGTGGGTCGCGGGTGGGTCGCGGGTGGGTCGCGGGTGGGTCGCGGGGTGGGTCGCGGGTGGGTCGCGGGGCGGGTTGCGGGTGGGACGACGACAACAAACAACAACAACAAACAACGACAACACGAATCCGCACCGCGGAATCTCACTTCAGCCACGCACCCAGGGACAGTGAATGACCGTTCGGCCCCCTCACTCTGATATATGTATGCACGCAGGCACGCATGCAAATCTATGAATGTATGAATGTACTTAGGTCTGTAAGTAGGACCTATGTATGTATTTGTCTGTCTGTATGTATGTATGTATGTATGCATATATATACATATATCCGTCTGTATATGTATATATACAAATACAAGTATCTGTATGTGAATACGTGTGTATGTATGTGTGTGCGCGGGAATACGTCTGTCTGTCTGTATGTCTGCCTGTCAGTCGGTCTGTCGGTCTGGATGTGTGTATGCGTGGCTGTATGTATGCATGCATGCATGCATGCATGCATGCATGTTATGCTTGCATTGATTTGTTTCGTTACGTGTGTATGTATGTATGCATGTTTGTACGTGTGTTAGTAGGTAGGTAGGTCGGTGGGCATGCATGTATGCATTGAATGATGTTTTTGTGTGTGTATATGAATTAAGCATTAACGTATGTACGCATGCATGTACAGTTGCATGTAACGTATTGTAATGTCATGTAATACAATGTATGTTTGTCTGTCTGCCTGTCGGCCTGTCTGTATGTATGTAACGATTGAAATATGCATGTGCGTATGAATGTAAGTGTGTGTATGTATGCATGTTTTTGCGTTCACGTATGTATAGAAGTTTGCATGACTGCATGCATGTATGTATGTATACATGAGCATATGTATGTATGTGTGTATCGATGTTGCTGCCCGTCTTCGGATACCCTCGTTGCCACGGTTGGATTATCCTCGAAGTTCTGATCAGAACCCGAATCACCTCGATCGGGAAGTTTCTAAGCAGATGAGCATCAGATTTCGGTGGTCCGCGCGGGTTTCTTGCATCGGCGCTGGGCCCCCCTTCCCTGTTGCGCGCAGCGTGCGACGGCGTGGCGCCGGAGGCGGTGCCACCGCCGCCAGGGGGATATGTGTCATGTGGTGTCGGTACCTATAGATTTGGCCTCTCAGAGGCCTCCTGCAGGCCTCCTGGGCGCCTCTTGGCGCCTCCTCGGGGCCCCTCGGGGCGGAAGGCTCGGGTGTGTTCTTCGGGTGGCGGCGTTGGTGTCCGCTTGCTCCCCCGAGGCCGCCGGTTATCCAGGCCTGGACCCGGCGCTGGCTGCCGCGCTCGGCCTGGACTGCGGCGGCCTGCAGGCCCTGGCCGCCGCTGGCGCGGTGGGCCTGGGCGCCGCGCTGGCCACGGACGGCGCCGGTCTGCACGCGGCCTCCCTCGCCGCCCTCCAGGGGCTGAGTGCGCAGGCTCGAGGCAGAAGCGTGTGCGCGTGCACTCGGAGCCGGCGGGGTGGGGGCGACGGCAAGCAGACTGGGGGAGAGGAGAATTCCCTTCGTCGCCGCGGCTGGATGGCGGCCTAAAAAAACTGGCCAATTTCGACCACGGCAAGGGTCTATTGTGAACGGGTTGAACGAGTTGCGTTCTGCTGCTGCTGGCACGTGGGGGGGGGTCACCCCCCCCGCCGCCCCAGGACAAGTGTTGGGGGGGTCCAGAAAGCCTCCCCCGGGAATATTTCCGGGGGGGTCCAGAACCCCCCCCCCCCCCGCAACGACGACGACGACGACGACGACCACGACCACGACCACGACGACGATGGACGACGCCGACGACGACGACGCACGATGCACGACGCACGACGCACGACGCACGACGACGACGACGACGACGACGTCCACGACCACGACGACGACGACGACGACGCTGACGACGCCGACGCTGACGCCGACGGCGACGCCGACGACACCGACGACGACGCCGACGACGACTTCGCATGCGAAGAAAACGACGATGACGACGACAATCAGAGTGGGATAGGGGTAGGGTGGAGCATACCAGGATTCGAGTAGAGTAGACTAAGGTAGAGTAGAGTCGAGTAGAGTAGGGTGAGATTCGGTATATTAGATTAGACCAGTGTAGATAGGAGTAGAACATATATGAGTGAAGTGTAGATCATATTTGGGTCGAGAGTAATCGAGTAGATAAGAGTAGGTGGGCCGAGCCGATCAGATATAGTGTCGAGTAGATGAGTCGTAGTGGAGTATATCTGAGTAGAGGAAGGTTGGAGTGGAGTGGAGTAGTTCGAATTGATCATGAACAACGTCGATTCGACTGGAGTTTGTTGGGACACGGTAGAGGAGGATCGAGTAGACGAGAGTAGAGAGGAGTAGAGTGGAATAGAGTAGAGTAGGGGCAACGTCGAGTAGGGAAGAGTATGTGAGGGCAGTGAACGGCAGAGTAGAGAAGGGTAGAGCAGGGTAGAGTACAATAGAGCAGAGTAGGATACATGAGAGGAACGCAGAGTAGAGTAGACTATGGTAGAGTAGGGTATAGTGGAGTACAGTAGGGCTTGTTAGGATTCTTAAAGCTAGACCGAGCTCCAGTAGCATTCTATCAAAGTGAGCGCTTGGCGCGGGCGCTGGCGACAAGTGCGCCGCCGCCGCCGCTGACGTTGTCGGCGTCGTCGGCGTCGTCGTCGGCGTCGTCGTTGCAGGGGGGGCGGGGTGTTCTGGACTTCTGGTCTGGATCCGTAGCCATTTTGGCTCAAGTTCCAACGTGGCTCCCGACGTTGGAGCTTGTATCACAGCCAAGGGGGCGGCTCAAGGCCCCCGTGCAACCCATCAGCTTTCACATGCTGTGCTCACCCCAGTTGCCGCCAGGCTGGTGAGCACGCATTCTGGCAACACGACTCCCCGAGGGGCTCGAGCATGGCTCCTCCCGCCTCTCGTGGTGCTCTGCGTCGGATGGCTTGGGCATCGCAGTGGAATTGCAAATGGTGCGCCAGCAAGTCGGGTGCTCGCTGGTGGAACGCGGCCACAGCTTCAGCATGTACCCAGTGCGGCTGCAGCAAGGACACGGCCTTCCACTCGGTCCGCCAGTTGTCGGAGGCCCCGAGTACCAGCGCCAAGAAGCCGCCCAGCCCGTCGCACCGTGAGAAGATGCTCGAGAAAAAGCTGGCCGACCTACAACGTCAGTTGGCAGCCAAGCAGCAGACCCCAGTGGCCCCTGATGCGTCGGATGCCATGCAGGTCGATGCGGGAGACCAGCTCGCAAGTGAGAACGCCAAATGGAAGGAGGAGCTGGCCCAGGCAGAGTCCTTGCTCAAGGCGCTGCCCAAGGAGCCCAGCACTGAGTTCGGCAAGGAGCAGAATGCACACTTGGAGCGGCACCGCGACGCGTGCAAATCCAAGCTGCGGGCTGCTCAGCCCTTCGAGTGGAGGGCGCACGACGTGGTCAACCAGAAGAAGCAACTTGAAGAGAAACGTGTTCGCCTGGAAGGGGTGCGCGCTCAGGCTCAGCTGCGACTCGAGGAGGCAACCAAAGCTGTGGCCGACGCCGACCAAGCGGTGCAGCTCACCCTTGACCAGATCACAGCGAAGGAAGAGGAGATTAAGCAGGTGCTCAAGGAGCAACCACTGTCGCCCAAGCAGAAGGATCTCAGCGCCACCATCGAGTCCATGGGCACCTCCGTCGAGGCGCTGGGGACCATGCTCAAGGCGAGAGGCCCCGAGCAGACCGACGCTGACATCTTGGGTGGCAAGCTCCGAGAGTGCATGGACATGCTCAAGCTGGCTGAGAAGAAGCTCAACCAACCGCCCGAGGCCCCGCCCGAGGCCAATGGGGCGGACGCCCCTCCTCAGCAGCCTTCTCCTGGGGGTGATGGTGGGCAGCCCTCCGCTGCAGGAGGCTTTGCTTTCACTGGCCAAGAAGACCCTGAGGACCTCAAAAACCTGCTGCAGTCCATGGGAGTCCCCGTCCCAGAGGATGAAGAGGAAATTCGGGCAGCAGCCAAGCGGGCAGCTGAACAGTTCACTCAGTTCGCGAAGAAGCAGAAGGTATCGACCTAGACTTTTCTGCAGTTTGGCTTGGTTGTTGCTTCACACTACGGTCAACATGGCGGAAGCTCACACGATTGAAACTTTCAACTGCTCGTCACAGCCTCAGCTCATGGATTATCTTGAATGGTCCAAAGCCCAGGTGATGACGGTGCAGGAACATCACATTCTCCCAGATAAATTACCTGATGCCCAGGCCAAGGCTTTGCAGCGAGGGTGGCATGGGATCTGGTCCGCCGCCAAGGTCACGGATGCTGGTGGCCGTTCGGCAGGGGTCGCAGTTCTTGCTCGTAAGCATGTGGTCGTCACAGCAGCCCCCAAGACCGAGGGCGGCGTTATCGTCCCGTCGAGGCTCATGGCCACGAAGGTGTCTTGGGGACCAGCTGGAGGACTCATCATCTACTCTATCTACCTTTACGTCGGTGAAGGTATGTCTGTCCACAACGTTGCTCTGCTCAAACAGTTAGCAGAACATGTGATGCTCATGAGGTCGATGGGCCATGCCAATTGGATGTGTGGCGGCGACTTCAACAACAGCCCCGAAGACGTCGGCACCGACTGGCTCCACAGTATTGGAGGCTGCTTAGTCGCAGCGTCTCGGGCTACCACGTGCAGGCAGACGCTTCCAGGTACCGTGATCGACTATTTTCTTGTTGGCGCGGCGATGCTGCCGCGCATTCGCAGGCCCGAAGTTGTTGAGGCAGCAGATGCCAAGCCTCATTTGCCTGTGACGATGCCCGTTGCCATTCAGGAGTGCCCCGTCATGCTCAGGAGAATCCAGGAGGCGAAGGAGATGCCCACAACTGTCAAGGCAGGATGTTCAAGGTTCCCTTGCAACTGGAGTGTCGTCCGTGAGCAGATAGGCCACATCGAGTCAGATACTGATCTGGGCTCGGCGTGGCTTCAGGTGGTCAACACGATCGAGCTGGAGATAGCAGGTCGGCACGACATTGTTGGAGACCGCGTCCTGCGATATCTGACACCTCCGAGCGTCGACATGGAGCTCGCCGCGTTCAAGGGGACTCCTGAAGATCGTCGAGAGTCAGGGCACGGCTGTGTATATGCATGGCGAGTTGCTGCAAGATGGGCGCGACGCATCCGTCGAATGTCCGAGTATATGGACACGCTCATTCATCTTATTTGCAATGCTGGTATCTCTGCTTCTGTCGAGAAGGAGCAGTTCGCTACTCTCCAGGAACAGCAACTCCGCGAGGGAATGCGTGGGCAGACTCGCAAGAAGCTCAAGCAAAGCCACGTCGAGAAGCTAGGCGTCCTCTGCTGCGACCTGGACAACTTCTCTCGGCGGGTTCACAGTTCGTATGACGTACATCGCATGATGGATGACTCGGCTCGCGATTTTCTGCAGGCAGGGTGGGCAGCATGGTTTCAAGACCCTGAATTAGATCGCAAGCTGGAGCAGATCACTGCTCAGGCGCAGCTGGTGCAGGATTTGTACTCGGGGCGCCGCAAAGAAGAGTGGCAGCAGTGGACCGAGGAGGCTTTCAAAAATGGTGGGCGTGATGCGCACCGTTTCACCCGACTTCGTGCCCTGCAGCAAGTTTTGCAAGCCCCGGACCACTCGACGCCAGCCCAGCTGGCCGACCACGAGCTGGAGAAGTGGCAGCAGATTTGGAGTCTCCATGGTTCTGGCGAGCTTCCGCGGCCTGCTGACGCAGAAGATTGGGGGCACCTGCCAGCGCTCACGGGGGCCCAGATTCGGGCCACCATCATGTCATTTGCCCGTCGCACAGGTCGTGGGCAGATGCGCATCCTTCCTCGGCACTTTGGTTTTGTATGCGACGAAGGGCTACAAGCTATGGCCGAGATGTTCATGGCCTGCGAGAAGCGGCTGGTCTGGCCGCATGCCCTTTTGTTTACAGAGTTGTGTATGCTTCCGAAGCCGAGCGGAGGCGCGCGACTCATTGCCCTCCTCAACACAATGTTGAGGATATGGGGCCGTGCTCGTCGAAATCTAAGCACGGCCTGGGAAAAAGCTCACAGACACCCCGCCTTTTGGGGAACGGGAGCTGGACGGTCTTCATCGGATTGTGCATTCCACTTGGACTTGCAGGCCGAATCAGCACACGCACGCAAGTTGCACGTCATAACTGTATTCCTGGACATGTTCAAGTGCTATGAGACCATATTATGGAGCATGATACTTCGTGAAGCTAGAGAACTAGGTTTCCCTCTCAGATTGATCTGGATGGTGCTACAAACGTATCGGGCCCCACGGACCATTCGTGCGTATGGTAATATTAGCTCGCTGTACGTGGCCCGTCAGGGCATTCTGGCTGGCTGTACACATGCTACCACTATCCTTATGGTCGTCCTGCATCGTGTGGTCTCTAACCAGTACAATAGATATCCCGAGATCACGGCACGAGTGCTTATGGACGGCTTCACCATGCAGTGGCAGGGGCCTGACCCCAGAGGAGCAGACATACTTCACACGTGCGTGCGCAACTTTGGTGGTGACGTGAGGGAGTTAGGCCTCATCCTCCAGAATTCGAAGTCGGGGTTCGTCGCTACCACGGCTCGTGCTCGCCATTGCTTTTCGTCGGGGGTCAAGTGCATGAAACTCAAGCCCAAGCACCACATGCGCAACTTAGGTCACGAGCTGCACGGGGTCAAAGCACGACGGGTTCAGGAGCAAGCACGCATGGCTAAGCTTAAGGAGAGGGTTGGCAAGATACGTACGTTGGAGCGTGCTGTGCATGAGCGACTTGGAGTGTTGTGGCGCACGGGGCTTTTTACCCGAAGTGGGGCACGGCACGGGCGTGAGCGGTACGTCGGACACTGTGCTCAAGCAGTTGCGCACATTTGCGGGCGGTATGATCGGAGCTGCCCGCAACGCATCACTTACGCTCTACCTTGCTACTCAAAGCGATGACAGATTCGACCCTGTATTTGATTGTACTATTCTTGTGGTTAAAAGATACCATAGCTTTATTTGGGACAACAGAGTGTCTTTAGCTGAGCTGCATCACACATGGCAGTATGTTTCCGACAAGTTCCAAGATGCCAAGCCGATTTGGGCCATGGCACGAGGACCGATGTCGACAGTATGGCTGACACTGATTCGTATCGGATGGCAGTTCAGCGGACCTGCTCGTCTTACGGACGATCTGGGACAACAGTATTCGTTGCTGGTTGTTGCTCCCAGAGATCTTGAGAAGCGTCTTGTCGAATCTATTCATCGGCTCCAGGTTGGACGGATCCTTCACCATCTACCAGAGCGGATCGGCGACGAGAAGATGTGGCGACGGGCCATGAGACTGGCTCTGTTTTCTGTCAGAGCTGGACCTATGAGAGGAGCACTCAGGAAGCTTTGGGCTGGAGGTCTTTTGTGTCCTGATCGGTCGGTGGACCTTGGGATCGGGGTTTCTCGAGAATGCCCATACTGTGGTGCTCCCAAAGGTACCCTCTCGCATCAGTGGAACGTCTGCCCTGCTACCTTACAGCCCTCGGATGCCTGCCCTGAAGTCATCCCCGAGGACGTAGTTGAGTTCCGTGAATCCAGGTTGAAATTTGTGGAGGATAACATGAATGACCCAGACACTTTTGACCTGACATATGGATTGCCGACGGAGCCCCTGCAACCCCGTCTTCCTGATGATGTTCCAGAGATATTTTCATGGGGTGATGCCAATGGTCATTGGTCGGCTATTACTTATTGCGATGCTTCTGGCATGCACATCAGTCATCCTACCCTGGGCCGAGTCGGATGGGCCATTGTTCAGATATGCCCGTCGACGGGAATCCCAGTTCGTGCTCAATATGGGGGCCTTCCTGGTCGTGACCAAACGGTGCCGCGTGGCGAACGCTACGCAGGATACCGAGCCTTGATGATGATGGAACGGCCAGGTTTAATTGTCAGTGATCACCGGTCGTTCGTGCGAGAAGCCAACAAATGGAACCCAGAGCTCGAGACTAGTAGTTCGCTGCACGCTGAGGTGTGGCGCAAAATTTTTCATCTGTGTCGACATGATCAGCAGCGGTCTGAATTCGTCTGGGTGCCCTCCCACAAGGATATCGAGAAGTTCATCGAGGCAGGTGGGTCACTTGCACATGCCCATGGGAATGCATGGGCCGATTTCTTTGCATATGCTGGAGCCATGGGCTTTGGCCGAACATCATAAGCAGATGATCGTCCAGTCCAAGAAGATAGCCCAGTTCACGGCGTACATGGCGCCCCGCTCGGTCAAGATGTTCAAGGAGGTGGGGGAGCCTCTAATCAAGAAAATCAGGTCCGATCTTGCCCTCAAGCTCTCCCTAACGGAACATGAGTTTGTGCAGGGCGGTGCCCTAGTGAAGTGAACCAAGTGCCTCAGGATCGCCACCACCCCTGTGAGCTACAGGGCACTTTTCAACTCGCAATGTTTTGGGGCCCCAGAAATCGGACGAGGACATAAACTCATCCGCTGGGGCCCAGCTGGGATCTGCGAACTCTGTGGGCGCTACAGTTTGCAGGTTGACAAGTATATTAAGAAGCTTCGCGAGGATTGTCTTGGGCCGCCAGTCAACAAAGCCACCCGTGCCAGCGTTCGCTCCCAGGTTAAAGCCCTGTCAGCAGGACGTGTGCCGAGGACTAGGCGGCCCATCCCTCTCGGGCCTGCTGCCGCTGGCTCAGGCAGCCAGGAGGCCGCCCCCTCCAGCCCCGCTGCGCTCTCTCGTGTTGCTGCCGCCCTCCGACTGGAGGAGACGGCGACTGTGGGGAGGGACGGGGCTGTGGACGGGGGTGGGACGGACTCGGGATCATCCGATTAGTCGAATCTTCTGCTGCTGGCCCTGTCCAGCCTGACCTGGGGCCTTCCCCCACCCGTGGGTTTTTTGGTCCCAGGCTGCCGCCTGCCGCCCCCCTGTCGTCTCGATAGGGCCTTGGGGTGGCCTAGGCTTCACTGTTCGTCTGCCTGTTGGCTGACCCTGGATCGACCTAAGGGTTGATCGCTTTGTGGGGCCTCGGGGTTCCTGAGGCCCCTCCCTCTTCAATTCGGCCCTCTTCCGTTCCTTTGGGTTCGGTTGGGGCTCCCGACTTGGACACGGGCGGGGTGTTCTGGACAAGGGGGGGGATTCTGTTCTGGACAAGGGATGATCTGGACAAGAAGGATCAAAGGGGGGGGAGGGTTCTGAATCCCCCGAAGATGCTGTGTCCTGGGGGACGGGGCCCAGACTCCCCAGGTGGGCATGGGTCGGAAGGGGAGGTCAGGGGCGCGGGGGTCCCGTAGTTTCGGATCCCCCGCTGGGATGTTTTACGGGCGGAGCGCACCTAATTCCTGACTCCCCCCTTCAGACTAACTTCAGACCTGACTCATCGGGGGTGGACAGACCTCCTACCCTGACACGTCGATTAAGGAATTGGCCGTTCTCGGTTCGCGAGAGGGCGCCGCGGCTGTCACTTTTGCGGGTCCAGGTTCGTCGGTTTCGGCCCCAGGCCGTTTTCACTGAGGGGAGGCTTACTAAAGGGGTGTTTGTCCACCGCCGACTTCAGACCAGCGGCGGTGGACTGCGCTCCCTCAGCGATTTCGAGCTGACCGAGCTCCCATCGGGGCCCAGCCGGCGCAGAGCCCCGAGCCGCCTCGAGGGCACCATCTCTTAAGTCGGGCGTGTCCGTCTACAGGAGGGAGATTTAAAATAGTCTAAATATAATATTGGGACGATTTTTTGACATTGAAAATAATAATAATAATATTTTAGGGTATTGTTTGACTATTTTTCTTTTTCTTTCAAAATCCCCCTGTAGGACAGGCCCGACTCAACACTATCTTTTAAGTCGGGCGTGTCCGTCTACAGGAGGAATGCGCATACAGAGACACCCAGTCTGGAGGCGTTTTTTTGGTGGATCAGTTCTTCTGGTGTGTTCTTGTTGCCTCAGTTCTGTCCTGGCTCTTCTCATGACGTTTCCAAGCCTCGCCTCTGGGCGGACATGCCGACGGAACACGACACTGCACCCTGGGAGCTCCGCGCGGGCTCCTCGGAGCTCGCCGGCTCCCGCGGGCGGTGCCCGCGGCACGCGGCGCCGCCCCCCGGGCGCGCCCCGCGCGCCGTGCAGGGCGCCCCCGGCCTCGGTCCGAGGAGTCCGCGCGGGGCTCCGAGCGGCTACGTTCAGGAGAGGAAAAAACACACACGGACACCATTAATCCTCGATTCCTCAGAAGATATGGGAAACTACGGGAAGTGGGGGGGAAGACAGAAACCCAGAAAGTATGGGAACACATGGGGAATCTTTTTATTTGTGTGTATTTATTCGTGTGTCCTGGGGCCCCTTCATACGTTCAGAGTGGGAGCCCCTGCCAAGAAACCCCCTGCTCGCCTCCAGGGTGCACAGGGTCTCGTCGGACTCGATGGTCTTGTCTCGAAGCGCGCGACGTTCCCACACCCAAGAAACCGAGGGACGCTCTGGGTTCCCGGGGTGATTTTTTTTCCCGTGGAGGGTTTCTCGCGATCGAGCGCCTGCTGTATGCAGCTTGCTCTTCTTGTGGAGCGCACAGGCCGCCGAGGTGTCGTCCAGCTCCAGCCACGGGCCGAAGAGGACGCGCCGCCCCCCGCCTGCCCGAGCGCGCCGTCTCCACCTGACCACCTGTGCCCTGCTTCGAGTGGCGCCGAAGCTGAAGAAACCGATCCGGCCGTCTCCCCTCCCCCTTGGCATCGCTCGGACGTGTGCATTGTTCCTTCGGCGAGGGCATCGAGGAGCATCCTTGATCATTTGGCGAAACAACCACGCACGAAACCGAAAAAAGCACAGGGAATGGACGTCCGAGCGATGGCGAGCCCCGCGGCGGCGTGTGGCCCGCCAGGCACGTGGCCGGCGCTCGCCAACACGCGTGGAGCAGAGGGCACCCGCCCGCCCACGGTGGTCGGGGGCCGCCCAGGGTGGTCGGGGGGTCGGGGCGGGCTCCTCGAAGTCGCTGTGGGCTCGGGGGCCGAGGGTTTCGGCCGCGGCGGAGATGCCAGCGCGGGCCCAAGGTCGAGAAGGTCGGCGGCCTCAAAGGGGGCATCTTGAAGGGGTTCTCTATGGTGTCAGAGGCAAACGGCCACGTCGGCGCGACAGGGACCAGACTTACAGGCAACATGTGCAATAAAGATTGAGGTGTGGCGCATCTGCGTCCTTCGGTTCTGGGCATCCTTTGCGTGCTCATGCTTCCTTGGTCCAGGGGTCCCCTGGCATCCAGACGCGGCCTAGGTGAAGGTGTCTCGCACCCTTGTGCTCTATCTCTATGGTGAACTCGACCTTACACATCACCACTTCTCTTGGGGCTTCAGGAGGGGGTGGGTGAGTATGGATATATTCAAGCCCAGGAGCCCAAGGGGCACGGCCTGTAGGCGGATGGTCGGGTAGGCTTTCGGTCGGCTGTGCTTTCTTTTGATTGCGGTTTGAAGATGTGGGTTTGCCGCGGCCAAATTCTGGGGAAACCACGAGGTACCAACACCGTTACTCCCCGGACCTCTCCCGGGGTGCTGTCTGACCAGACTTGTGAGGCGAATCCAGCGGTGGCGGCGAGGACCTCCCAGGAGACCCCAAAATGGGAAAACGAGGTACGGAAACGTTACTGGTACCATTTCTTCTTCCGACTTACCTTGACCCCAATCCCGTTCCCCCGTAGTCCGTCTTTGCGGGTTACTTGTCTTCTTCTGGGCAGTCAGCCAACAGCAACGTGTGTAGCCTGCCCCGAGCCGCCAGGGTGCCCCTTTCAGGGGGCCCCTGGGTCAGCGGCTACAGAGGAGGAGGAGGAGGGGGAGGAGGGGGAGGAGGAGGAGGAGGAGAGACAGGCGGAGGAGGAGGAGAAGGAGGAGGGATATGATGATGATGATGATGATGATGATGATGATGATGATGATGATGATGATGATGATGGTGATGGTGATGGTGATGGTGATGATGATGATGATGATGATGATGATGATGCTGATGATGATGATGATGACGATGATGATGATGATGATGATGATGATGATGATGGTGGTGGTGGTGGTGGTGATGGTGATGATGATGATGATGATGATGATGATGATGCTGATGCTGATGCTGATGCTGATGCTGATGCTGATGATGA